ATAAAAATTAAGCTAAAATGTCTCTGACACAAATACCGCCATCTTGTGGTGATGATGTCATTCGCAGTCAGTCTGAGCAGCAGCAATCAGGAGTCAGTGTCAGCTGTCAATCATGTTTTTATATCATCAAACAATAATTAAACCAAACTGATGAGAAACACTTGAACAAACATCAGTGAGATCAGAACGACCTGAAACGACAGAAACATCTTTGATAAACATTTATTTATCGTCTACGTCTCCCATCTGCTAACATGGAGGGAAGTTATACTGCAGCCAGCCACCAGGGGGCGGTCAAGTTGCTGATCTTTGTTCTCAGTCTGTTTCAGCTCATTTGTTAATGACTGATGTGTTGATCGACTGTTCTGATTGGACGTCTCTTAGTAGTTTGGGTCCATCGGGCTGGATGTGATTTTTTTCTTATTTCTTTTTTCTGAATCTACTTCCTGTGTTGAGAGCGAGCTGCTGTTAAAAGACGTGCTTGACCTTTGACCTGAGCTGACCCGACAGTTCACTGTGCTGAAGATGATGATGTGTAGTTTGTGTTGAACGTTGTCGTCCACTCAGAGGATCAATAAAGATTATAACTGACGATCAACATGTTTACGTCTTTGTCTTCTTCCCCCCCCCCCCCGTCTCTTTGTTACTTATTCTTATGTCTCTCGCTTACTCTCGTTCTTTTATTTTGTATTTCTCTCTTCTTTTCTTTATTGAACATTACAGTAACATGTTGTGTCCTCAAGGGGGAGCAGTCATGGATACTGGAGGAGGAAGATGAGAAGTGTCTTCCTCAGACGTGTTCAGGTTACAACACTGATAACGTGTGGTCATGTGTCTCCAGAGGATCAGCTGATGGTCACATGTTGACAGTTTTACTACGACGATCAGTATTATCACGGAGAAAAACTACAAACATCTGAAAACATCTAAGATGTATTGATCACATGATCAGTTCTCTGCTCGAGAGATAACAACTAATCTATCGTCACGACAACAGAGGAACTGTCCCCGAACAAACCACGTGACTATACACATGTACACACACACACACACA